GAAAGATTGTAGCAGGGATGGCGAGATCAAGTTAAGGGTTTTTTGAGGATGGGGAAGAACATGGGCTGTTTGTAGACAGTAGGAAAGCAGCCTGTAGTCGGGGAAAGATTGAAGATAAGTGAAAGAATGGAGATAATAGAGGGGGGAGATCTGCTAGAGAAGATGAAATGAATAGGATTACTTCTTCTGCATGTAGATAGGTTTGCGTTGGCAAGGAAATGGATTACTTTGTGTGAGGTAGATGAAGGAAGAGATGCTAGCAAAAGTCACCTGAATGGGATGGGGTAAGGCTATCAGCTGAGAGAATGGAAGGAGGGAGAGCCATGGGAGGCTTGAATGGAGATGAAAGATTTAGAAAAACTCCTGGAAAGTGGGATAGTTTGTCAATTAGAGAAATATGCTGTATGGCTAAGAACTTTGGAGAAATGAAGAAGCCCATTTGGTCTTCAGTAAAGGAAGAGTAAACTAAAAATATGGGTTGTGGGGGTCAATAAGTAGGCTAGAAGGAATGACTTTGGAGAAATAGTTTGGGAAATACTTGGCATAAGACAGGGCAGCTGTCGTAATTGAAGGGCTGTCACATGAAAGAGGGATTCAGCTTGTTTCATTTGTCCTCAGGAGGAGAAACACTAGGAGTAATGAGTAGAAGTTCAACATTTAAAAAAAAAAAACCTTAACAGTTAGAACCATCCAAAATTGAATGCACTGCCTCAGGAGGGTAATGGATTCCCGTCATTACAGTTTTGTTAGGTGTTATACAGGAAGCTCTTGTTTGGGTCTCAGTTGGAAAGATGGACACTGAGAGAGCCCTTCCAGCTCAGTTTCTGTGAATACTGAAGAACAGTGAAGACTCCATTCTAAGGTTATATATGCCAAAAATATTGTAGTGGGTGAAATAGGGTAGAAGAATTAAATTTTAGGGGTAACCCAAGCTTGGGGATTAGTGGGTTAGAAATGACAAAAGGTCTAGGGCAGAAGGGGTCAAGACTAGGTATGGAGCCAAAGTAGCAGAAAAAATGGACTTTAGGAATAGGAAGAGAGAACAAGTCTGGAAGTCATGGTTAGGGCATAAATCAGGTTTGTTGTAAGCCATGTGGAAAGTTGGGGAGGTTGTGGTCAGGGAGTGTAATTTTGCAAGGTTGTACAGTTTGAGAGACTGAGCTATCAAATAGAACTGTGCTGTGTTGTATTTAGGTCATTGGAGTTGAGGGTGAGCATTTGTCAGGTTGGGGCAGGGATATTAGGTCACCAGCACAAGAACATTGAAGCACCTAAGTGTAAGTATATCAAGAGTTAGAGCTCTCAAGGGGAGAGATTGTGATCTAGGTGCCAAAGTCCTAACAGACAGTGGTACAGTGACCTGGAGAGTAATAGCATTGGCAGAAGATTGTCACAAGGATGTTTGGAAGAGAGTATGAATCAATAATTACATGTAGTTTGAAAGACGAAGGATTGTTGAGGATTCATACTAGAGGAATGTTATTGAGCAGCTATGGAGTACAAATTACATCAGCTTCCACGGGCCTACCTGGGGAGAAAGCATAGCTTCTAATACTGAGAAGGTTATTAAGGGATGTGTATATCTTTAGAGAAAAGTTAAAAGGAGGGCGGCAGGAATGTTCTGAAACATTCAGCATATAAGGGAGTCTAAGAATATAGGAGTTTCTCTAAAGGCACAGAAGAAGGAACTAAGAGAGAGAAGAACTGAGTTGGCATGGGGCCGGGGAGAAGTAGAAGTAAAGCTGATCTGATTAGGGAGAACAGTTCAGTAAAAGCTAGTAAAGTAAGTAACCTTGTGCCTGATAATGGTGAGACCAACCTCTACTGGAGGGAGGTTATAGTAGCAAGTTGGGAGTGGAAAGAGCCATTCATTCAGCAAACTTAAACAATAAAGCAACTTGGAGAATTAATTAACCTTGAACTACAAATGAAATGTTGATTTTTCACTACCAGGTCTCCTCCTAAACATCCTGGTTTGGTATATTTTCATTTTTTATGGGAGACTGTTCAACAAGCCCCTCCTTTTATTTCTACACAGTTTTTATCTGATTTGTCTAGCTTGCTGGACCCTGAATAATCCTTTGGAAATAATCTTTGACTTTTATCCTAAAAGACTGCTGGATTGAAGATTTTTGAATTAGAGTTTAATACAGCCCGACCCCTTCCATCTCAAACTCTTTTTGTGAGGTTTTGGTTGGGTTTTTTGTTTTTTAACTTTAGCCAAACCTTTTCTATTATTGAGCTGGATTTGAATCTTTATTCTCTTTAAATGACTACATTCAAAAGTTATTTTCTCTCAAGATATCTTTGCTTCTCTAGTCCAGAATAATCTCTGAATTTTATCCCAGCTAGTTGTATAAGAGCAGATTGCTGGAGGCAGGGAGGTGGGGAAAACACATGATTGTGAATGAATAGGCAGTCCCCAACTTATAAGGATTATGTTGCAAATCATTTGGTGAGGATTCTGAATGCATTTTCTTCAGAGAATGGATGTTGTAAATTATGGTTAGGTTTCCAGGCTAGCCCACAAAAGCCTATTTAATCCATGAAACAGTTGAACTTGAGTTCTGGAAACCGGAAGGCCATACAGTATAGGAAGAAGTAGTTTCCTCCCTTCTCTGGGACACAGAACAGTGTTAGGAGGAAGAGGTATTTCCTCCTTTTCTGGGCACAGCACCAGTCAAAGGAAAATTTTTAAATATTTTTGAAAACTTTCCAGTTCAACCGTTGCAGCCTTTGAGGTGACCAGCCTTTGTGGGAAAAGGGTGCACCATCTCTACACCTACACGAACACTAACCACTGACCAACTACCACTGATGTACACACAAGCCCAAAAACCTCTCTGTCCCCACTGGCCCTTGCCATCAAAGGTAGCTCCCTCATCCCCACCAAAACCATCTGCAGACAAGGTAGGCTAGCTGAAATACCAAGGCATCTTGAGGGAGAGACAAGAAGGAGGTAGTTTTTCCCCACAAGGGTTAAGCCACCACCTCCCCCTCAGAATCTGGTTGAGATATCCACTGAGCCCCAAAAATAGCCGTGCTGACCGTACCAGCAGCCCTTCTTTCTGACTCAGCCCTTGTAGCCATCATTGAGGGGAAGTCACAGCTAGTAAAGACCTAACAGAGAAAGTTCTTCCCACCAAAGCCCTCTGCACTGTCAGTTTGGTATAAAAAAACCAATATGGTTAATAGATATCTACTTTACCTTTACACCCTTAGGGCAGTGGGGCTTGTCCATCTGACATGCATCTGGAAACTTCCTATGTGTTGTGTCCCCGTATTAGACAGTAAACTCCCTGGGGCAGCTAGTGATAGAGCTGTAGCCTTGGAAGTCAGGAGAACCTGAGTTCAAACCTAACCTCAGACACATGACACGTACTAGCTGTGTGACCCTGGGCAAGTTGCTTAACCCCAACTGCTTCACCAAAACGGCAAAAAAAAACCCCAAAAAAACAAACAAGAAAGTAAACTCCTTGAAAGAGGATGCTAGTTGACCCAAATTCTTATTTTTAGCAATGTGAGAGCATACACCCTACTATTTAATAAATGTTTAGTAAATGGGAGGGGAGGGTGGAATTCATTAGGCAGAAGGGTAACAACCATTGGCAGACCAATCAAATATAGGCATCTTACTCTAGAATTAGTTTAAGATGCTCCTGTCCTTTCCAGATTCCTCCTTTTTTCTTCCACTCCTGAACCCAGAGTATCTAGAAGCTACACGCTTATGTATGAATTGCTTCCCATCATAGCAACAGCAGCAAAGAGTTCTAGCAATGGGGAAGGGCAAGTCAGAGATTTTACAAATTGTGTGCTGCTTACATTTGTCACTCATGTATTGGAGATATAGTTTAATAACTATTCACAATAGCTGGCAGGCACTTCTGGGGTGGGAGTTGAAATAAGTAATTTTTTCTATCATTTTACTAAACGTTACATAATCCTGAATTTTCTTAGTAGATTATAAGTATGCATTTTCATCATACATGAGTTTAGTAGAATGTACAGTAAGCCTAATTCTCCCCTTCAGGCTCAAGAATGAAGGAACTACTATGAGTCGTCCTGAAATATAGCCTTGATGCAGATATGGAGTCTGCTGATCTAGCCAAATTTATTCTTGTCTGGGAGGAGAAAGGCTAATAATTGCCACAATAAGACAGCACACCTGCTTGGGGAGAGAGGGATTGCTATATTCATGTTGAAATTGATCATATTCCTTTTAACTGTCCTACAGAGCCATGGAACAGCATAGGGTTTGTTTTGTTTGTTTTGTTTTTTTGAAGCCACTAACTTTGATCTTGTAAAATGGGACATTGCAACAAAGGTGCCCAGCTGTGGGCAAGAATCCTCCCTGTCTTTTGCAACAGAAAAGGGAATAGTATTTGGGGTTTATTAGGTAAATAATGTAAATAAATGTAAATCATGAGGAAGAAAAAAATTATAAAGATGTTTGGATAATTATTGTTTGTAATTAGCATAATTAACGTGTGGCTTGCTATATGTTTATGTAGTGTCCAGGGCACTTTAAATACATTATCTCATTGACTAAAAATACCAGTGGCTTTACTTGTCTTATTAAGTCAATTAACAAGTTGTATGATTTCAGATTTTTATTTACATTACAATTCAAATAAAAAACATCAGCTTCTAAAACATGCCAAATGATGTGGTATAATGGAAATGGCTCTAAATTTGGTCGTGAGGCCTGGGTTTGATTTCTAGCTGTGCTACTTGATGTCAAGGATGTCATTTCACCTCTGGTATTGGTTTCCTCATCTGTAAAGTGAAGGGGGTTGGACAGAATGATCTCTAGGTGCTTCCTAACTCCAAATCTACAATCTTATACCTGTAGTGAAAATGTTTCTAAGAGGAGTGGTGTATTCAGAGGCCTGGTTGGTCTAAACTTATGTTTAAAAGCTTAGAGACTTAAAACTTTGATATCTTCATTCCTTTGATATTTGTTGGGGTCCATTTGACAAACCTCTCAAATGGCTTTTCAGGTGCCAATGATTCTTGTGGGTAATAAGTGTGACTTGGAAGATGAAAGAGTTGTAGGAAAAGAGCAAGGACAAAACCTAGCAAGACAATGGAACAACTGTGCATTCTTAGAATCTTCTGCTAAATCAAAGATAAACGTTAATGAGGTAAGGTTGATGCCTGTGTTTTTGAAGATTTTAATATAAATACCAGGAAACTTTTTGGAGAGCTCTTTAGTATTTTTCCTTAAGCCTCAGTACTTCAAGGATCGATGATTTGTTGTCGTGGATGCCTCCTCTGCTAATTCATACTGCAACTTAAGATAAGAGGCAGTGGCCAAAAGGATCATCCTCATGGGGGCAACTTAGTGTTGATCCTGTCTGAACTTAGCTACGTTTGTCTTCTAGCCGCCTACCCTCCAGCACCAACAGGCTTTCCTGGGGCAGGTCTAACAGAGATTGAGTTTCCATGGCGTAGCCTGTAAGAACAGATGATCTTCACCCTGCAGTGAAGCATCAAGGGAAGGAATTCTTTCCTTAGATCTCTTTTTAAAGAGACCATAAATATTCCCCTGGAATGCCAAATATATGGTCCTAGGCAATATCTTAGTTGAATTGGATGATGTCTTCAGGATGTCTTGAAGCAATCAGAGAAATTTGGCTGCTATAACATTTGGTTTTACATTCATGTTGTTAAAAAATAAATGTTTGCTTTCTTGGATGAGTTATATTATGATGAAGAAATCATACATTATGTTCTTTATTTGTCAACTGAATCACACATTTGTATTTGCAGATCTTTTATGACCTAGTCCGGCAAATTAACAGAAAAACTCCAGTGCCTGGGAAGGCACGTAAAAAGTCATCATGTCAATTGCTTTAATACACAGATGCATTGTAGCTCTGAGCCAGGTATGTCCAGTGATACTTCTTTCATCTTTGACCTTTAGTCTCATAAAATACTATTACGTCAAGAACCTAACTAAAAAATTTTTATACCCCAAAAATAATGATCATTAAACTAGTGTGGTATTTTACTAGTAGAGCAAAACAAGAGGTCATATCTGGCAAGTGGGAAGGGACAAGCTATTGTGCATAAATTGATCTCCCAGACAGCTGAAGCTTACCCAGTTCAGGCACCAAAACTTACTGGACATCTTTCTAAAATTTATTCTGTACTTCTTTGATTTCTTAAATAGAAAATATCTTCTGTAATACATTTATGATTCTAGGTCATCATCAATGTCAGTTATATTAATGATGTTCTATTGAAGTTTGTAGGGCTGCTATTAATGGTCTCCTAGTTACATGCATTTCAATAATCCTGGTTTTGGGGTGTGGTGGTTTTTTTGTTTGTTTTTTTTTTAAGCATTCCATAGCTAATTGTGTTTTTTAGTAGCCTTTAAATATTGTCATATATGATTTCACATTCTTTGATAGTCCATTTAAATTTATTTGTTGTGTCCTATGCTAAAACTTCCCATTTGAGCTAAGTAAAATTTTAAGATCATGTTTAGATATTGAGATATATAGAACCCAGCCTTCTAGAATATGAAATATTGGAAAACTATTTCCTGTGATAACAGGATATAGAACTGAAATGGAGAAGCTAAGTCTCAGAGTTTGGCTTGCCCCAAGGCCATACAGGTAGTATCTTAACAAGCCTTACAGATAGAAATCCAGGTTTATTTCTATACCGCACTGACAGTTTATGGTGCCGAATCACAGGGTAGATTAGACAGTAAAGCAATGAAAAAAACTGCTCAGAAGTTTGCATGTTAACTGTACAAATAGATATCACAAGTACAAAAGTACTAAAAAAAAATGATAGGATTCTTATACTTGGGTTGTTGAAACCTTTTTGGTCACTGCCTTAATGTGTTCCTTAGGGCGGTTAGCTTTTCTCTAGGTGTTTTCAAGTCTTTTCTTTGGTCTTTCAGGTCTGAAGAACTGTTGCCCAATTCAACAGTGCCAGCAGCATTCCAACTTTATTAAACCTACCAACATCTTAAGCGGACTTTCCTGTGGTGGTACCCTTTAAGAAGTGGATGAAAGCTACTATATCAGTTTGCACATTCTAATCACTTTGCAGTGTCACGAGAGATTTTTACTTATGATAGTCTGAGTATGCAACTGGTAAAACCAGAAGCTACATCCAGTATTATTGCTAAGAGACATTATTCATCCACCGATGTTGTACATGTATGAAAATGGTGTACTGTATACTTTAACATGCCCCATGCTTTCTATTGGAGAGTACAATAATGTAAATCCTAAAAGCACCACTATTTTAGCATAATAAAAGAAAGTCCAAAGAGCTCCTATATAGACTACTCCAGATAACTTTGCTTCTTTGATATTTGTAGCTTATTGTAATTTTTTTTAAAGAAATAAAAGGTCATCATCATTGTACAAAAGCGCTTTGATTAACACAGCTATAGTTTTTTTAATTTTTTGAAAAACCTGTGGAGACAGTGATCTTGTCTTTAAAAATAAGATAGTCCTCTCAGTATAATGTCTTAGATAAAAGACGTTGCCTTTAATATCTGTTGGGAAGGAAATGTCCAGACTTTTCAATCTTTTATTGTATGTTTCCTTTTTGTTTACATAGGGAACAATGTTTATAGTTGTGTGTACAGTGGGGGTCTACAACAAGAAGTGTATATTTTCAGATAATTTTTTAATGATTTAACAATTTTGTAAATCATTTCCAGGCTTCTGCAGCTGTAGATTCTCACTGTGAATCCCTTGCTTGCTCATGCATCAGTGTATTTGCAATACCAAATATGCAGGTTTAGTACTTTTGCCTGTTAGTGATTGTTTCACATGTGTAACGTTTTGGTTGAGATGTTAAATGGTGGAAGAGTACTGTGGATGTGAATGTGGGAAGTAATTTTAATCATGTGTAATTGGTCACAGGGCCTAAGTTGCAGTAACTAACTTTTTGCCGATTTATTTAACAATGCCTTGTTGCTTTGTATGCATTTAACGTTTGGGTGTAAAGATTGTGTGTATATCCAACAGGGAGCCACAGTATTTAAATTGACCAACCTAATGTTACAACTACTTTGAGGTGGCCAAATGTAAACTAAAAGCCTTAATTAAAGTGGTGCAATTTTGTATAACTTAGCATCAGTAGTTCAATAAATTTGGATTGCCATGCAAGGGCTTGCATTATAATTATCTGCCACTTGAATGTTTTGTGTAATGTTTTAACAGTGCTAGTAAATAAATATGGGTTTAACTTTTTTAAATGTAATGGGTGCATTCTGCACAGTGTGGTTTCATAATTTAACATTTGGGCAAGCCAAGTTCTCAGTAATGGCAGGAATGGAAGATGTCATATTTTGCTTAGTAATGTTTGAGTATCCACATAGCCACCTTTAAATCTTTCCCTGGGAAAGCATTTTGTAACTCAAGCAATATCACTTATATGAACATTTTTTGGTAATGTCTGGCAGTTATTTTGGACAGTGTGGGTAAGCAGTAACAAATACTTTGACACATGTTACTTTATTGTTTTTATATAGGATGAAGTTATACTTAGCATATTATGGTTATGAAGGTCTTTGAATGAAGTGGATTATGTACTGCTTTCTTTTAAGACGGAAACAAGGTTTTCTTTGTCTTAAAGATGCACTGTAATTTATTGCCTATTTGTGAAAAGCTCTGCAAGTTGAGTCTTCATAGCAGTATGAGAATATCAGCTCCTAATAGGAGAGATGCTCTGATTTGGACTCAGATCTGTACTATTGGAATAGAACACTGTAAGATATTTTCATAGCTAAAGTTTGACGATATCTTTGGTCATAGGATAAGAGTGGGAAGGGATTTAGGCATCATCTCGTCCAACCTTCTCATTTTTATAGATAGAGTAACTGGAGTCCAGAGAAGTTCCTTACCTTCCCACAGTCACCCAGGCAGAAGTAGTGAGGGGAAAGGGTCTCTGTCTACTATATTGTTTCCATATAGGCAAAGGATGAGCACCATGTAAACATCCTACAGCCAAAAGAAGGAGGTCTTTGCCTGGTTTAAGAAATAAATTATTATCGTATACAGTCACTTGGGACAAGTTGAGAAGATGAAATTTAAAAAGAAAAACCAGTGCTCACTGGGAGAATAACAGATGTCTTATTTCTTTATGTATTCCAAATGAGCTGAAGTCATATAGCCTCTTGGATTTCCTCAATTGTTAAAATAGGGTTGGTTAGAGAGTGTTTAGAGCATGTGACATCTCTGGTCCTTTTTTTTCTAACCTAAGCCTACTACCATGACAGGTGAATAATACTGTGATATGGGGGCGGGGGAGTGCTTTTAACCATAAAGGGAAAAAAGTTCCAATACTGAAAAATTAAGAGAGCACAGATTTGATTTTTTTTTATTCATAGTTGAACTGATTTTAGATGGTAATTCTTCTGCAGTTTTGTTAGAGGAATAAACTACAGTGCGGTTTTGGTTCTTTTGTAAAAATGATTGCTAAAAAAGAATTTGTCTCATGGAAAAAAAGGTTGAATTAATGTTCATGAAGATGGAGTTATATTATAGTTGTTAAAATCATCTGTAAATCTATTTTTATAGGTCTGTATTTTAGGATTATCCAAAGGTAACTATCACTGTTAGAGGAAGCATTTCATCAAATTGTTTAAGGAAGAGGAAAAGCTGCATACTCAGTTTTTTTTTAAGTGCTAATAGATCCGTGCAAAAAGCACCATTCTCTCCCATATCACTCAGTAACTGAAGCTTAAGAATACAAATAATTATTTGAGATGTCATCTCCTGGTAATGGTTAAAATATTTGTCTACAACTAGAAAAAAATATATCAATTCATGTTCACATCCCCAAGGACACTTGAATAGCTTCAGTTTTTAGGAGGAAATATTTTACTTAAAAGTTTTTTTTAATTGTATGTAATAGTAAAATTTATGTCACAGCTTTGCTTTTTGTTATTAGAATATAATAGCTACTTTACCTAATATGAGCTCTTTTAAGAGAATCTTGAGTTAACAAAATTCTTTAGAGGACTTGCAGTCTCTAGATGTAACAGAAGTGTTAATCATTATGCTCAAATTTTGTTTTAATTGTTTTAAGTTGAATTTAATTTCTGATTATCCTTGTTCTGTCTCCTCTCCTTTTTAAATATTAAAAATATAAAAGGGGCTTTAACTTTTTCTGTTGAGCAATTTTTCAACTATTTTACATTGGAATAATAAAAATATTATAAGTCAGGTTTCCCTTTTTCTCAATAAGTCTTTCTCAAACCAGATTACGTGTCAGAGTTATGAAATCATCTTCATCCAAACATAAGTGATTCTTGCATTTTTTTTATGTGATGCGTATGGTCATGTTTGACTTACTTAGACTTAGACAAGAGTAGCCCACTGTGATTCTCCTTGACTTTCCATTGCCTCATGCCTGTCCTTAATTCTAACCCACCAGTGTCCCACTTCAGATCTGCCCACCCCTTCCACTGTGCTCTCTGAAATGCCTGTTCCACAATTAATCTCTAATCTTAAACTTCGATTTATCTCACTCTTTACATACTCTGGCCTTCACTGAGACAAGACTTCCTCCTAACCCCACTAGTTCCCTCGATACCTTTTCCAGTACAGATTACCTCTCTAATACCACCCAACTGAGTGGTCATGATGAGCGAGTTGTATTACTCCTTAGTTCATATTGTCACTTCAGACAATCCCTTAACCATTTTTAGTAGGCAACCTCTTCTTTGAGCATCACACTATCTAAATTTATCACCAATTCCAGATCTTGTTGGCAGTTATCTCTAAGTCCTTTAGGACTTTATTCTTCTTTCCTCAGTAAGTTCAGTGCTTGGCTTAGTCGTTCTGTTCTCTCTGTCTCCTACCCTGATACTCGAGGGCTTCAGCATATATATTGCTAGCCCATTGAATATTCTTAACTTAACTAACACTCTTGCCCTTGATCTTTCAGGTACTTGGAAGTATTCTATTTCCAGATTTATAAATTATGAAGGACGCTTTTCTGATCACAATTTTTTTATGTTGTCATCTCTGCCTTTTCATCCTCACTGGGACCTCCATTCCCCAATCCTTCGTTTCTTTCCCTGAACGTCATGACTACAGATTCTTCTCCCTTTCCAGTCTTTGTTTTTGTTGTTTGGTCATTTCAGTCGTGCTGAATTTTGGGAGTTTTCTTGACGTAGATATGGGAGTGGTTTGCCATTTTCTTCTCCAGGTCATTTTACAAATGAGGGACTGAGGCAAATAAGAATTAAACGACTTGCCCAGGATCACACAACTAGTAGATGTCTGAGGATAGATTTGAACTCAGGAAGATGAGTCTTCCTGACTCTAGGCCCAGTGCTCTATCCACTGCACTATTTAGCTGTCCCAAATCTTTCTATTTACACTTTGTGAACCAATTTAAGTCTATACTTGCCATTCCTTCACCCTTTGATTGACATCCCATCATAACTTTTCAGTGTCCAACTGTCTCACATGAAGAGAAGGGACGTAACTTCCTCTCAATACATGTGCAGTTGATCTCATCCCGTCTCGACTTTAGCAACTGTTATACCCACTTGCTCATCTTCTGTTTCTTTTTGTTTTCTGGCTCCTTGCCTGATGCATACAAACAAGCCTACATCTTCCCTGGCCTTTTTTGGGAGGGAGGCAATCAGGGTTAGGTGACTTGCCTAGGGTCACTGAACTAGTAGGTCTCAGAGGCCAGATATGAACTCTGGTTCTCCTGACTCCAGGTTCTCTATCCACTGTGCCACTTACTGTGTGCGTGCACGCACGCACGCGCACACACACTCTTAATCTGACCATCCACAATAGCTGTTTTCGTTTGTCTCCTCCCCTTACCTCAAGAAAGTCATCTATCTATAATTCACCCCTCCACTTTACTGACCTTTATAAATTCTCTTCATTTTATCTCTAGCTTTCAGCCTCAATTCAACTGAAACTACTCCCTGCAGATTTTCCACTCTTAATTGCCAAATCAGATGTAATGGTCTTTCGTCTACAGCATGTTATGTGTTGCCCACTTTTTTGCTAGTTTATCATACATAGCAGGCATCCATGGTCAGTGTTCTAAGGCTCTGTCCTGGTCCCCTTCTGCCTTGTTGATCTTGAGCTCCTATGGGTTCCATTTTTATCTCTATTCAGATGTTTCCCACATCTTTATATCCAGCTCTCTGCTGAGGCTCAATTATGCATTTCCTACTACCTCTTGTACATCTCAAACTGGATTTCCCATAGACATCTCCAGCCTTCCCCCTCTTCATAATTACTGTTGAAGACAATTTTTTATATCCATTTTTCCAGTCGCCCAGTTCCACAACCTTAGTGTTGTTCTCAGCTCCTTGCTCTTATCCCACGTAGCCAATCCCTTAACAAATCTGGATGTTTCTACCTTGACATCTCTTGTGTATACTTCTTTTTCTCCACTCCCATAACAAGAACCGTGATTCAGGCCCTCATCCAGCCATAACCTCCTGGCTGGTCTCCGTGCCGAAGTTCTCTTCCCACTCCACTCTCCCTTGAGCTGCAAAGGGTACATAAAACTCTTGTCACTCTCCTGCTTAAAAGAGCTCCAGTGCTCTGTTAATCTCTAGAACCAAATTTAAATCTCAATTATCTAAAGATCTTCATAACATGGCTCCTTCCTACCTCTCCATTCCTTGTACCTCATTCCCTTCCAAGTATAGCCACAGTGGCTGACTTGGCATTCCTCAAACATCTCTCTTCTCTGCCTTTCAGCCAGCCGGTTATCGTGACTGGAATGCTCTGTCCAGTCACCTGCACCTCTAGTTTCCCTGGCTTCCTTAAAGACATGTCAAATTCTGCAGTTTTTCTAGGTTCCACCTCTTCCACCCCCACAAATGTTTTCTTTCAGATCACCTTTATTCTGTTATGTTTTTCTATGTACCTGATTTCCGTACATTCTGTTTTCTGCATTGGAATGTATACTTCTTGAGAGCAAGATCCGATTTATGCCCCTCTCTGTTTCTTAGTGCTTAGCATAGTTCTTGGCATAAGGTAATAAGCACTTATAATAAATATTTGTTGGCTGGCTCCAGTTAATCTGTTTTGGAGCTCAATTTCTTAAAACATTTTCTGGCCTTTGAAAAGTGAAGTGCAATGGACACTGATGTTGAGACAAGGCTCAAAACTCTTACATTGGTGAACCAATTAATTCATTAACTGTCTTACAAATATGATCAGTAAAATCTAGTTTGATCCCAAGTATTGATGAAGAACAGAAAGTCTGCATGTTGATGTAGTAATCTATTCTACGGGCTGAAAAGTTATCTCCATTTTTATTCTAAATTTCAAGTTCAATATGCTTTAAAAAAATTTTCTAATGCTCCTGTGAAAATACAGCGTATTAAGAAAAATTTTAGAATAAAGCCTGGATTTCACTGTCCAATTAGATGACCTGGATAATACTAATCCCAGTTAGTCGTTCTGTGACCCGGGCAAGTTGGTCAATCTTTTAGGCTTCAGTTTCTTCGATTTTAAGTGGAAGAGGTTATACTATAGACCAAATGTCCTATCATGCTTTAAAACTCTAGTTCTGAATAGAGGGAATTAGAATTATTAGATTTCAAGAAAGTAGTGACTGTGGTAATAACCTAATTCATCTCCCTGCTGCCTTTATCCACTCAAGTCATTCTCCACGTAGCTTCTAAAACAACCTTTGTAAGACATAGATCTGACCATGACACTGCCCTCAGATACCTACAGTGGTTTCCTGCTGCATCTAGGTTTAAGTGCAAACTTACAAGGTTGGCATTTAAGACCCTCGGCAGTCTGACTCTAACTTCCCTCTTCAGAGTTTGCACGCAAGTGTGTTCTTTCTGTCCTCAAAACACCTTTGGTTTCCTTATTCATGTGCATTTGCCCCAACTCTCAGTGGGATGTAAACTCTTGAAGGCAGCAACCTGCACCTGAAGGTCCTTAATAAAAAGTTTATTGAATTTAAATACTCTTAGGTTTCCTTACATAATGCTGATATTCTGGAGCATAGTGTGTCACCATACATAAGTAGCTCATTCAGTTCAACTACAGGTTTTTCCTGTTCCTAGACGGTAATAGAACTTAATTCATATGGGGAAGCATATTGGGAAGTCATTTTTGAAGACTGCTACAGGCAAAAATATTAAAGATCATTTAGTTATACAAACAGTGGGCTTTTGACTGACTTCATTATTCTCTGTAGAACCTTC